TTGTATTATTGTATTAAATTTGAGATTTAATTAAATCAAATTTTTTTTTTTTTTTTTTTTTTTTTTTTTTTTCCTTTTTTTTTTTTTTTCCTTTTTCTTCTCCTTGAACATTACCCAGATCCAGAAAACCCTCCGCTCACTCTTCTCCCCATCTCTGGGTCCTGGGTCTTTTTCCTCCAGCCTCCAGCTGTGAAGTCTATTTCCTCTATCCCCTGAGACATGGACCCAGTTACGCTTATATTAAATCATACAGTGCTGTAGCCATTAATAGTATCACAATTCTCCACCATTACAGTTCATGATGCCGATTTTATCCCTTAAAATCACAGACAAACATGGCCAGAGTCACAAACCATATTATGTCTTGCTTATTTCAAGCATGCATAACATTTTTTTTGCATCTCCCCTTTAGTGATGTGCTGCTGACAGAGGATGCCGTGTGCAGGTATCTCATCAGGAAGCCCATGACCACTAAAGACCTGCTGAAGAAGTTCCAGACTAAGCGCACAGGCCTCAGCAGCGAGCAGATAGTCAACGTGCTCGCCCAGATCTTGAAGAGGCTCAACCCAGAGAGGAAGAACAATGACAAGATGCACTTCTACCTCACAGAGTGAGCCCAGCTGAGGAGAGAGTGAACCTGAGTGCCCATCACCAGCAGCCTCTCCTTTAAGAACACAGCTTAGGTTGATCTTGATCTGAAATTTGTCGTTTTGCTTTCTACCATTCAGCATGTATTAACAGTAGTACTTAAGTGCTGTTAATTGATGCTGGAAGTCCAAAGAGTAAAAAGACGAAGAAGACTGAGAAGCAAGCAATGGAGTAGGTTTTTGTAACGGATATAGGAAAGATGTGTTTGTAAACTCCACATTTGTCTGTTAATGACAAGTTGAATATTAGAGAGAAACTGGGTAATATCAACACAATGATCTTTCAAGAAAACCTGCTGAATTGAGTAACTTTACCCAGAGATTACAATCGCATCTGAGGATTTTATTGCACATTCATTTCTTATTACATTTGTTTGCCTTTAAAAAAAAAAAAAAAAAAAAAAAACTGGTTTATCAGCATTGCACTGTTAAAAGCAGTAAAAGGTATAACTTTTGCAGATTTGTCCTTTAGTACATTACATTTGTTCAGAAATGAATGTTTGTTCATTAGTTTTAAATGCATCTTGTATGCAATAGTATTGTTTGAGTAGAAAGCCACAATATTGGATAGCAAAAAATATTTATTAATAGACATTGTAAATAGAAGCAGTTCCAGTGACTGTCTTCATTCTTTTTCCTGACTCATTTTACATTATAAATTGAACAAATCAAATCTTTCCCCTTCGTATCCACTACAGGTATTTGGACCACATTTCAGTGAGCTGAATGTTATCCTAATGTTAACAGTTGTTTCTTTGTGGTTGTTACAGGAAAATGCGTTCGATTGACACATTTTTAGCTATGTTTCAGCATCTGAAAGATGAACAATTCTAGACCAGGGTAGTAATGTGAAAAGGCCACAACGTTTCCAAGATAAGTGCTAAGGTCAGTCCAGTCTCAGTTCAAACAGGCAGGTTTGGACAGATCAGAGATGCGGCGATGACATGGAACCTTCTGTCCTGAGAAAAAGGGTTTTTCATCTTTCAGGGTTTCATGGGTACATTTAAATATACATTTACAAAATACTCTTCTCCTGCCAGTTTTGTGAAATATCAAGAAAGAAAATGAAATACGCTGGGTTATATACCTTAATATATAAAGTGAGCGCCGACTCAGAAGCAAGTCCACCCAATCTGTGGATTTGTTTTCTGGGACCAATCGCATAACAATATCAGACAGCAGGCTTGAAGCGGGATTTATACGTTCGCCTGGCTTCGCTCCGCGAGCCTCTGTTAACTGCACGCATACTGAACCAGCTATTTCTGATCTTCAGGCACACTGGTTAATTACAGACGGGGCTGTTGGATCAGTGTTGAATTTGAACTCACTCCAGGACAAAATTGGGCACCCCTGATCATTATAATTAAGTTCATGTAGTTCTTTACCTCCAGGGCATATATTAAAATTGTGTAATGTACACCCAGCCATGGCTTACCTCACATATTACATTTAATATTTTGTTTAAAAGCACCATTAAAAAAATGCTTTCAATATCTAGTGAGAGAGGTTACAAAGACAATCCTTTTTAGATATTTAACTATATTAGAAAGTTAGAAACCTCTGGAGGAAACAGACTACACAAATGTTCATCTGACCAGATGTTATGCAGCCTCACAACATTAACAACACTGAATCATTTGTTCTTTCCCAATTCAATTATTAACAGTAGTACTTAAGTGCTGTTAATTGATGCTGGAAGTCCAAAGAGTAAAAAGACGAAGAAGACTGAGAAGCAAGCAATGGAGTAGGTTTTTGTAACGGATATAGGAAAGATGTGTTTGTAAACTCCACATTTGTCTGTTAATGACAAGTTGAATATTAGAGAGAAACTGGGTAATATCAACACAATGATCTTTCAAGAAAACCTGCTGAATTGAGTAACTTTACCCAGAGATTACAATCGCATCTGAGGATTTTATTGCACATTCATTTCTTATTACATTTGTTTGCCTTTAAAAAAAAAAAAAAAAAAAAAAACTGGTTTATCAGCATTGCACTGTTAAAAGCAGTAAAAGGTATAACTTTTGCAGATTTGTCCTTTAGTACATTACATTTGTTCAGAAATGAATGTTTGTTCATTAGTTTTAAATGCATCTTGTATGCAATAGTATTGTTTGAGTAGAAAGCCACAATATTGGATAGCAAAAAATATTTATTAATAGACATTGTAAATAGAAGCAGTTCCAGTGACTGTCTTCATTCTTTTTCCTGACTCATTTTACATTATAAATTGAACAAATCAAATCTTTCCCCTTCGTATCCACTACAGGTATTTGGACCACATTTCAGTGAGCTGAATGTTATCCTAATGTTAACAGTTGTTTCTTTGTGGTTGTTACAGGAAAATGCGTTCGATTGACACATTTTTAGCTATGTTTCAGCATCTGAAAGATGAACAATTCTAGACCAGGGTAGTAATGTGAAAAGGCCACAACGTTTCCAAGATAAGTGCTAAGGTCAGTCCAGTCTCAGTTCAAACAGGCAGGTTTGGACAGATCAGAGATGCGGCGATGACATGGAACCTTCTGTCCTGAGAAAAAGGGTTTTTCATCTTTCAGGGTTTCATGGGTACATTTAAATATACATTTACAAAATACTCTTCTCCTGCCAGTTTTGTGAAATATCAAGAAAGAAAATGAAATACGCTGGGTTATATACCTTAATATATAAAGTGAGCGCCGACTCAGAAGCAAGTCCACCCAATCTGTGGATTTGTTTTCTGGGACCAATCGCATAACAATATCAGACAGCAGGCTTGAAGCGGGATTTATACGTTCGCCTGGCTTCGCTCCGCGAGCCTCTGTTAACTGCACGCATACTGAACCAGCTATTTCTGATCTTCAGGCACACTGGTTAATTACAGACGGGGCTGTTGGATCAGTGTTGAATTTGAACTCACTCCAGGACAAAATTGGGCACCCCTGATCATTATAATTAAGTTCATGTAGTTCTTTACCTCCAGGGCATATATTAAAATTGTGTAATGTACACCCAGCCATGGCTTACCTCACATATTACATTTAATATTTTGTTTAAAAGCACCATTAAAAAAATGCTTTCAATATCTAGTGAGAGAGGTTACAAAGACAATCCTTTTTAGATATTTAACTATATTAGAAAGTTAGAAACCTCTGGAGGAAACAGACTACACAAATGTTCATCTGACCAGATGTTATGCAGCCTCACAACATTAACAACACTGAATCATTTGTTCTTTCCCAATTCAATTTATTAAACAGTTTTAAACTTAGGTGAATCCAGGTCAACATAGCATTTCAATAAAGTAAGGTGATGACACTGAGCACCTGCTCATCATATTACTGCACAAGACCCAGAGCTGACCGTGAGAGCTTACACTTTAGATGTGTTTGGCTTGAAGCAGCACTGTGCAGACTGAATGAAGTATGACATCAAAGTATCGTGAGAGTGATTCAAAAGCATAAGAAGCTGTCTTGCTGTCGTATTGCTCTCGTGGTACTTTGATGTCATACTTCGATCAGTCTGCATAGTGCCGCTTCAAGTCGAACACACCTATTATCTCTTCTAGGGAAATATTAAGTGAATTTGCTTTTAAATAATAAACTTAAAATATAATCAAATAATACAAATATTAAGGACATACTTTAACAACTGAATGCACAAAGGTAGGAGAGACCATGCCACATTGTGAACAGAAACAAATGAGGGAAAATGTTAGGCAAGATTAAATGATTTGTGTAGAGCTTGTTGTGAATGGCATATCTCTAACAGAACAGAAATCCATAATATTGGCAGTAGGCAGGGTGCAGACACTGCTGATGGACTGTGATGAGACACAGGTGTGGGGATGATCGTGGACCAGGGGAGGATTTGGGTGTCTTAGGACATCACAGGCTGGTCTGTCCTAAGGTATTGGGTGAAGAAAAGAAACGGAGTAAGAGCATTTTAAGTAACAATGTACACAAAAAGAGCATCACATCATATAAATATGAAATAATCGACTTGATAGTTCCCCAAAAATGGTGCAGTTTTGGGCACCACTGATTTCCATTTGTAGGGAAAAAAATTATTTGGGTGGAAAAATACTATGGAACTGCTTGCTTACAAATATTCTTTAAAATATCTTCCATATATTCAATATTTTTGTGTTCACCAGAACAAAGAAATTCATACAGGTTTGGAACAACATGAGGGTGAGTAAATGACTAACACTTTAATCAGTGACACCGATTTACATTATAAAACATTGTTATAAATAGTGTAATATTTTTTACAATAACTGTATCGTTGTTGTTTTTTTGTTGTAATTGTTTTTTGCCTTTTTTCAATTTATAAAATTGTCATTGTGTGAGTATCGTCAGTGTTTTATATAAAACATACATAGAATTCAATGTACAAAATAAACTGTGATTGTTAATAAAACTACTAAAGATTCAAAAGCAATGAGTAATTTTCTGTCTTGTGTTGCTGGATTAACATTAATGACACAGATAATAACCTTTCATGACGGAGAAGAACGGCAAAAAAACGAAACAAAAAAAAAATAATAATTTGGGAGCGTAACCCTACCACTGCATTGCTAAACACGATCATGAGACACAACATGTGAATGTTCGTCCTGCTGGGACAGGAGCATTAATGCAAACCCCTTTGTGGTGCCGTTTTTTTTTTGCATATGCTTACCAACGCAACATCATTGCCATTTAAACCAATGCAGATATTCTGGAAAACGAAAGAACACCACGGGGAACACAAATCAGATCTGAACAACTGCCATACACAGTGAGGACAGTCCATTTTAGATCGGATTAGAATCAGATACACGATTAGATAAATAATCAGATTTGGGCTGGCAATCTGAACATAGCCAATGAGACCACGGTTTTGGGGCATGAAGTATTTATTAGTCCAAATACCATTTTTGTAGTAATTTTTCATTAAATCATACTTTACTTACTTACATACTTTACACAAGGTGTGTAAAGACACTGTGTTCATATTTATTGATACATTTCCATAAATCTATAATTTCACTGTTAGTACGGAAGTGCCTATAGTTGCAGAAACACCAAATATAAACAAGGCATTGGATCACATCTCTCTCTGAAGTGAAACAGGTTGAAAAGATCAGACAAGTATAGGCTGTGAACAATGATTTGAAAATATTACATATTAGCGTGTGAAATTTACTGCAATGCAGCAGCGAGACACTTAAACACATACAGGTTAATTTGTTTGTCAAGTATATTTGTGAAAGCTGACAATGAACAAATATGGACCAATATTATTTTTGCAGACTACCATTATTTCAACACCAACAAGTAACCAAGAAAAAAGTGCCCTGATTATGTGTCCAAATTTAAGAGACATACAGAAAGCAGGTTTGTAAACAACACTGCTGACATTTTTTTTTGGCTCCGCATTTAGACAAATAATCTCTTAAGTAAAAATGTGTAGTGGGAATCAGAGGAAGGATTACTAAAAGAGGCAGACTAATGCAGGCTTACTTTACAGTGCAAGATGTATCTCTATTGATAAAACATTTAAGAATGATGAAGGTCACAGAGTATGGCGGACCAAACCTGCAGAAATTAAAATATATTAGGTTATATAATTAACGTATGTATTTATTTATAAATGCATTTGTGTTTTTTATATTTATTGCTAAATACATAAATATATATTTATTTATGTGTTTATTTCCAAATGTATTCATTGTTTTTTTTTT